TTATTTCTTTGATACTTTTATTGATACTCATACATGTAGGCTCTATTTCTGTCTCAGTTGGTCCCTTTCTATTAATTTATTCGACTACATTCTAGATGAAAAGAACTTAATTTTAAAGTCATTACTAATAAATCTATTATAAGGTTCTTAATAACAGTGCAAGCTCTTTAAAATAACAGTATAATCGATATAAAGGAAAATATGCATTGTAATCAACCAATATCATTATTTATTATTTTAGCGTTTTGACAAATTCCAGTATTATAGAGTAAAGATGCATAAAAATTAAATATTCTGTCATCCTTAGGATTTCTATAGGGTGTTTAACATATATAAGAAAATGAAATTTTTTAAAATGTCGAAATACTAAATTATCTTTAGAATCTCATCATGAATTGTTTATAATGATCTTACAAAACATTATTTTTAGAAGGGAAAGATGGAAATGTGCATTCAGTAGTAGAATATTGAAAGAAAAAACTAATACATTACTAAATTTATTGGCGTAGTTTGCATACTAGCTTCACAGTGAGCTAATGAACTAAATTCTTACATTAATAATAAAAAAACGTCAAATTATAAAGAGAACTTCCAGTAAGTGCTACACATGTAGCATGGACCAATCCCTCCACTTTTAACATCAAACATAACAATTCCAATAATTATTTTAAACTTCAGAAATTAATTAAAAAATACGCAAATATACCAATATTATTTAAAACAAAATTTTTAATAGAAATTCAATTAATTTTAATATAATTTTTTAAAAGAACAACTTTCCTGTAAAGTTAAACCCATGAATCAATCAATGATAAATTGGAAAAATGAAATCGATAAATGCTTCCTCAATTTAGATTAATAAGTTGAAGCATCTTACAATAGGATTGAAGAAGCCATATCCAGTAATTTTAACTTTCCCTCCACTCTTAGAGAAACAACCAAATTTAATATACCATTGCTTCCAAATGTGAAATTTGAGTTAATAAAAAGAAATATTGAATTCCTTTCACCAATAGAAAAAGCTATCAAAATAAAGCTAAAAACTCCACCTAAAGATGAAGATAAATATGACTGGAAAGAAGATTTATACGAAATCCTAACAGCTTCAAACAAGATTGAACTAAAAGTAATTCCTTAACTTTTGGAATAATTTAAGATTGAAAAAGTAATAGATTCTTTAAAATTTCTTAAAAACCAAACCAACTTCAAATATCTTGTTTAACTTCTCACCAACCTACATGAACATGATTTTAATAAAACGAATTATTCATCAGATGATAAAAAAGAAATAAGAAAGGAGTTAATAATAAAAATTTCCAATCAATTAAACATAATTGAACTATTAAAATTTTTAATCCATCTTACTGCTATAGATAATCAATTCATCTAATGTGGTTCGAATTGCCTTATGTTATTAGTTGAAATGAAAGTTGATTTGAAGGGAGAAAATTTTGAGAATATTAGGATAAAAGACACTAACTTAATTGGAGCTAATTTTGTTAGATGTAATTTTAGTGGATCTGAATTTAATAATGTTAATATAAATGGAATGAATTTGAATTAAGCATAATTATTTAACTGCAAATGGTAAAACATAAAGATAGATGAATTAATTTAATTGAAGGGTCACACGAATTC